TAATGGTGAGATAAAGAGAAATAAGCCTTCCATGAATATTTAAATTTTAGATTAAAGGGTAAAGACTGTTGGTATCAGCAGGGCGGTGGCAAATAATGTTATTTGGCTCGGTGGTAGAGTTTTAACTAACAGGTATCTACCAAACAAAATCATCATACAAACTGTCACAAAAATAAACAGAGAGTTTCAAACATAATATCTAAGTTGTCAAAAATTATTATACCAATTGTACCAATTATTTATATTTTACCTAATATTATTTTATTTTAAAATAGGTTTCCCTATTATTAGTGTTATTAATATTAGTACCTATTATTATTTTTGCAGCCACCAAGTATAGCCTTGCAACAAGGTATGCAAGCTCAAGGGCAGCACATGCACCAGATACAACAGCAACAGCAACAACATCAACAGCATCAGCAGCAATTACAGCAACAGCAGCAGCAACAACAACAACAACAACAACAGCAGCAACAACAGCAACAGCAGCAGCAGCAACAACAACAACAACAGCAACAACAACAGCAGCAGCAACAACAACCTCCACCGCCATCTGTTATGATGGGTGGGCCAGATGGTCAAAATCCTCAGTCGATACAACAGCAACAGCAGCAGCCTCAGCAACAAGGTCCACCTCAACAGGCCATGAACCAAGGTTTTACACAAGGACAAGGAGGGCCAATGCCTCCTAGTGGATACCGTCCTCAACAGTCTATTGCTCCTATGCGTATGTTTAAGCAATTATTTTTTTTGAGAATACATTTGAAATTCCTTTGAATTTAGTGTGTATTAAGACCAATAGTATCTACTCAGGTTGGAGCTCGGAGTTAGGTCAAAGCAGTGATGAAAGTGTAAACCAATAGCGCTAGTAGTAGTAAGGTTGATTTCACTCCTAAAATATATGTTCAAACAAACTTCATCTTAAATTATAGATAAACAACTTCATAATATACAAGAAAATATTTCAATTATCGGCAATTATAAATTTAAGAAAAATCTGCCTATTATTATAATATACTTTACCCTAATTAATTGTAAATATAACTTACTATGCAATGAACATCAATATATAAGAATTTCCAACTCATATTTTCCTTATTGTAAATTGGACATTTTATAATTGTGTTCATTACATATTTCCAATTAATTATGTATAAACATTTTAGAAAATGAGTATTTTTTATTAATATTTATGAAAAATTGATATTATATGTCTATTTATTTATCTACAATTCGTCAATTTGTGATTAAGTTCAATTATGTCGTACGGGTTAAAATTAAGCCATTTACTACTGCAATTTAAGGTTCAAAATTTCATCATACATTATCAATATTTAATAAAATGGCATCCTTGTACTAAGTTCCAACCTTAAATTGGTAAGCGGTTAGTACATAAAGCAACAATTTTCAAGTTACCAATTATATAAAACATTTAGAATACCTAGTAAAAAGTTTGCCAAACTTGTTAATTTATTTTATAATATTATTTTGACTGTTGGCTAGATTTATAACCGAAGTAATTTTTTTTAAACTACATATGTTTAAGAAAATATTAATTTATATATTTTTTAATCATACTCCGGTTGATGATAGAACACTACTCCTTTGCACATCGAAATGATAAAGCTCCACAGTTTTGTGCCCAAATTTCTTCCACTATTATCTTTCATTATTAATTTTGCCTGTTAAGACTTTGAATAAGTGAGACTTAAAAAATTACATTGATACATTTTTACAATATTATAATTTTATTGAAATTTTAGTAATTTTACAAAGTCTTGTGTGTCGTTTGGTGGTAAAACACCAACATACTATTATTGTTGTAAAATGTTCGATCATTCTTAAATTTCAGGTCCGCCTTCTCAACAATACAGACCTTCACCTCAGTATCAAGGACAACAAGGCTATCAAAACTTTGCAACTACACAAAGCAGTGCTGTTGTTGGTTCTAACCAAGCAGGTGGAGGTGGCGTGTACAACCAACCACCAAACCAACCTTATCCAGGCCAAGGATATGGTCATCAGCAACCAGTGCCCAGTTCAAACTACCCAAATCCCAATTATGCCAATCCGCCTACAAATCAACAGTACCAACCAAATGGTCCATATGGCAACCAACCTGGTGGTAGTTATCCACAAAATACTGTTTCTTCTCAGCCACAAAATTTTCCGCCTAACTATCCACCTGCTGGATATGTTCAACAACCAGTGAGTTCAAGCAGTGGTTATGGTCCTGTAACAAATCAACCATCAGCATACACTGGTTATGGAAATGCACCTCAGAATACGTATGCTTCTTCTCAGACAACTCAATCAGCACCATCGGCCTCTACACAGACATACCCTCCTCCACCTAACCAATCTGTTCCTAATGCGGCTGTTGCTGTACAACAGACTGCTCCTGCACCACAACCTAATTATCCTACACCACAGCAACCCAACGCTCAATCTTACCAATCTCCTAATAATGGACCCAATCAACAGCCTGGACCACCCCAAAACTATCCGCCTCAGCAAGGTTATCAACCTCCGCCTCAAGGATATCCACAAGGTTATCCAACACCTGGTCAACCTGGTGGCTATCAGCCATATCCACAGAGACCTTTGGCTCCTCCATCAAATCAGTCTCAATATCCGGGATATCCTTATCAGCCATCACCTGTTTAAGTAATGATGAACAAGACAAAATATGAACATTAATTATTTTTTTAAAAACTTATTTTTAAATGATATTGATATTGAATCAATACTTTAATTTACTTAGATTAGAATTCTATTTTTTTGTACTTATCTATAAAGTATTGGTACTTGCAGCTTTTAAATTATTATGTTTACCCATTAGCACTTTTGAATTTGATAATATACAATATGACATAATGATTAATGGGATTATAGTTGTTAATTTAGTTAATCTTAAATGTAATTTACTTATATTCATAATACAATTTGGTATTTTGGTATAATCTTCATATTCAGATAATAAAATCTTTATGTTTATATTTTATAATGTTTTTTCCATATTATTAAAACAATTTTTTATAAATATTGTTTTTTTTTTGTTGAGCTCTTAATTGTTTTAAGAAAATACACTTTCAGGTATCAAAATTGGGTTTTTAAAACATCAACTCAATGTACAGTGGTCGTCGAATAACTTTTTTTTATATTAATAGTTTCAAAGTGTGGAATTATTCATGTTACTCCAATATTTCACATACTCATTATTTGCCTAAAATTGAACCTTCGATGATAGTTATTTATAAATGTATTTTTAACAATTTAAAATTAGTTTGAATATTTTGAAAATTGCATTCAGTTTTTAAAATATTATAATTATTATAGAAGAGTGTCAAATACAATATAATATTAAAATGGTTGTTTTTCAATAAAATATTGTTAAATTTGAACTACAAAAATTATTTAAAAATATGTATTTCTACATACATACTTTTAATAATCTTAATATTATCAACTTATATGGCAACTATTGTACTACACTTTCAATCTGAATACTTAATGTGATTTTATTTAAAAAATAAAATGGATCTTGACTGAATGGTTGCTGACAGCAGAATAATGCTAACATTCATTAACAAAGCAATATTAATTTAAGTTCTAAATTTAAAAAAAAAGTGTGTTAAATGGTCTGTTGCCTATTAAGTGATCATTAAAAAAATGTATGAAGGTTTAATTTGAAAAATATTCACGTTTAGTAATCTAGAATGTTATCCACTAAAATGGTAAAATAATAAATAGCATGTCGGCCCATGTACTTATTTTATCAGATACCTAGTCGAACTTGTAGTTATAGAATAAATTAAATTTCAATAAAATCAAATAAAATGTAATTATTAAACAAATAAGTACGTCTTTTACAATAATTATGTACATACATTAATATAATTAAACATGTTTGGTAACATTTTTGTTTTTTTTATAATATAGTTTTAAACTGTTATAAATAAGTTTTTTAACGCATTTTTAAAACAACTTTTCTCCACCAATGGATTTGTGTTGTACTGTAAAATATACATGAAAGTTACTGCTGCAAAAATGATTCACTGTATACAACAACATTTTTCAGAGATAATTTATGAAAACATTTATACTTATACTATTGCTAGTACTTAATGTGTAAAATACTATTTAAAAAATATAAATATACTTGTATATTTCTTAAAATTTGAGCTCTTATTAATAGATTCAGTCGTTTATACAATATATTTTTTGTTTTTCAAGCCATTTTTGCATATCTTTTAGATTTTCAGGAATTAAAATCCCAGCCCTAGTTGTGTCACTGATTAAACAGGTAAGTAAGTTGAATCGCTTATTTAAAATTTATAAAGGTGGTGATACGTTGAGATGTTCAGAAAAATAACTGTTTTTTTATATAACCATGTTCTGTGACTGGAAACGGCTGAAAGGAGTCAAACTCGCATGAGTTCATTGCATAATAATATGGCAAGTCAAACATTGATCTTGCTTATAAATAATACAGCTGTTAAGTGGAAAGGAAAATTGTTTTTTAATACCAGGAAGATAACTCCAAGACTTAGTTCGACCGAACAATTTTGACTTCACAATCATTTTCTGGATGCTTAACTACAGAGTTATGTTCAAAACTTAAAACGAAAAAAATTGGCAAAAATGGAGTGCCGGGTAAGTTTCCAACAAACTTACGACAGTAAGGAGACTGTATCAATACTCAACAGCTACTGGCTAGCTATGGTAACCAGGTCAAAAAAAAGAGGTCTCGTTGCTATTGAGATCCTCTCGAGTTTTGTTTATGTCAAAATTAATTTATCCCGTCATGCGCTTCGTCCGATAGTAGATCGCATATTATTACGCATAAATTATACGGGACTGATCCATCTTAAATCTTGATTATTGTGATATCTGTGCTATAGATGGATGTTGTAGTTGGTCACACTGTCGTGGATACAGATAATACATATTATGATAACTTAGATAATATTTATTATCAGCGGTGTCCGTGGCTTGTCATTAAGTTTCTACAATATCATGAAAAATAGTATCGAAGTATTTTACAGTTTTCGTAAAGTCCGTGTCTCCGTGATTGAAAATTAAAATAATTTTAGAATCTATCTATTCTGATTCAGTGTTATAATTAAATCAATGATAATATTTAAGATTTATAATTACAATTTAGGTACTATATTGAGAGCCATAGAACTAAGAAGAAGATCTTCTTTACGTCGTGTTTTTAATATGATGTATACCTTAAGCTAAACTGTGTTTGTAAAGAAGTAATTTGTTAATTCAGTGTCCCGGACCACTTTGAATAACATACCTGATTCAGATTTGTATAGACACTCATCTGCTGCAATTAACTAAATAATTGAACTAGTAGTTTGTGTGTAGTTTAAATGGATACGTGAGCATATTAAATTTTGTTCTAGTTTTTGACCTGGTACAATTATTTGTCGTTAACCTTTTAATATTTCAATTTTAGAACTGAAGAAGCTATGGATGAATTACAAATTGAAAAACCCAACAATGAAATTAGTGAATTACAAATTGAAAAACCCAGCGATGAAGTTTGTGAATTACAAATTGAAAAACCCATCAATGAAATTGGCGAATTACAAATTGAAAAACCCAATGATGAAATTAGTGAATTACAAATTGAAAAACCCAGCGATGAAGTTTGTGAATTACAAATTGAAAAACCCAACAATGAAATTGGTGAATTGCAAATTGAAAAATCTAACAGTGAAATTTGTGAATTACAAATTGAGAAACCCAACGATAGAATTGGTGAATCACAAATTGAAATCTCTGACACTGAAATTTGTGATTTAGAAACTGAAAACTCTGACACTGAAATGTGTAATTTAGAAATTAAAAACATTAACAGTAAAATTTGTGATTTAGAAACTGAAGACCCTAACAATGAAATTTGTGAATTACAAATTGAAAACCCGGTCAACAAAATTTGTGAATTACAAATTGAGAAACCCAACGATGGAAATGGTGAATCACAAATTGAAATCTCTGACACTGAAATTTGTGATTTAGAAACTGAAAACTCTGACACTGAAATGTGTGATTTAGAAATTAAAAACATTAACAGTAAAATTTGTGATTTAGAAACTGAAGACCCTAACAATGAAATTTGTGAATTACAAATTGAGAAACCCAACGATGAAATTGATGAATCACGAATTGAAATCTCCGACACTGAAATTTGTGATTTAGAATCTGAAAACTCTGACACTGAAATGTGTGATTTAGATATTAAAAACATTGACAGTAAAATTCGTGATTTAGAAACTGAAGACCCTAACAATGAAATTATTGAATTAGAAAATGAAGACTCTGACATTGAAATGTATGATTTAACACTTGATAATCCTGACAGTGAAACTGATGAATTACAAGCTGAAAACCCTGACACTGAAATGTATGATTTAACACTTGATAATGCTGACAGTGAAACTGATGAATTATCAACTGAAATCCATGAAACGTATGATTTAACACTTGATAACTCTGACAGTGAAATGTATGATTTAACAACTGATGATACCGACGTCATTGAAATTTGTGATTTAACTGAAGATAACGACGACGATGTAATTTGTGTATCTCAAGTTGAAGGAGTCAACAATTATGGAACTTGTGATTGCAATGATGAAGAATGTGTTGGGTGCTTTTGGCCCTGCGAATCGTGCTTGTCAAACAAATGTGGACACCAATGCCGGTTAGTTAAATATGAAAACAATGAAAATTAAAAATAAGGAGTTGTATATTTTTAGGTTTATATTTTTAAAGTAGAACTAGTATACAATATCAATAGCACTGATGATTTATATTTAAACTTTTAATACAGTGAAATATCAATTTATTTTTTATACATTAAAAACTACCATTAATATATCGTTATATATTAATGGTAGTTTTTAATGTTTTTATAATTTCTTTAATACAATTTTGATAGGTTTCAAAGCATTAAGTTTATTTATTCATACATATTTCCAAAAAGAATTGACCGTATAGTTTTATAATGTACCTTAACTACCTTACTAGATTCTAAATTTGTATGCCCTTTAAAATTGATGTTTATTTGCATCTATCTCTCTTTAAAATTTAAAGAATACAATTTTTTAAAAATGAATTTGCTTAAGAGGACACTACCTAGTTATTCAAGTTTGAAGAATACAAAAATAATGCATTTTGAAACAATGAAATCTTTTTTTTTATTATTGATTTCAAACAAATAAAAATGATATGTCATTGATAATGTTCTCAACTATATTGTAATCAATTTGGAATCTTAACTATCACTGCGGTCTGAGTTCTTCCAATCCGAGTAGAACAGTTTTTGCCATGTTGTACATTTGCAAGACGAAGACAACACATGTGGTTGTAACGTCCTCTCAAGTCAATACATAATGTATCTATATACTTTTTAAACCTTTCAACTTCTATAAATACTCATACAATAGATTGAAAGGTATTATAGCTACAGAATATAACAAGAAACTGCTACCTATATAAATACATTAGAATAAATTAATAATTGCGCATGGTTTGTTTGATTATAATCATAACCAATCAAAATTATTTATCCTTTTTATGTATAACAAGCGACAAGTGTCAAGTACACTCGAAAACACCTCGGTGAGCACCCAACTTTTACTGCTACAACACTTACTTCAATAAAATAAACTTAATTTTTTCATTACATTTTCCATCTACATAATTTATATCTTCATCAACTTAAAATTTGTAACTATAAACTTTAGTATTAATATAACCAAACAAAACAAATTATCATAATATTGTGTTGCATATAATTTTGTTGGTAAATTAATAACTTCTTATTAAAAGGACGTGATACCTGCATGGGTTGTCTCCGTCTTACAAGTGCGTAACATAGCAAATTGTACACTCAGCAGAACACGTGTAGGTCCGTTAATTTAAAAATTAGTGCGAATTGACCTCTTATAAAATCTAAAGGTAAGATTATTATCTAGGCAACCTCATAGGTTTTTTATTATATTTTAATTTTAATGCGATTTATAAGTATTTTAAGATGTATAAAAAATTTATAATTTCAAAATACTCATAACTCGCGTTAAAATTAAAATATAATAAAAAACCTATGAGGTTGCCTAGATAATAATCTTACCTTTAGATTTTATAAGAGGTCAATTCACACTAATTTTTAAATTAACGGATCTACACGTGTTCTGCTGAGTGTACAATTTGCTATGTTACGCACTTGTAAGACGGAGATAACACATGCGGGTATCACGTCCTCTTAATATTTAATATAGTACAAAAGATGGTTAAATACAATTTGAAATTCTTCAAATATGATATCATATCTAACATAATCATAGTATATAGTGTTTACAATTAACTTTTTTTATGCTTTTTTTGCTACACAAATTGTCCATATTTTTTATTCCCATTGAATGTATGCAGTGTATGCATGAAGTTAACATAAAATATTATCCACACTTATACATCATAATACCATGCATTACTTATTAATATTTAATTTTTTTTCAGTATCAATCGTGAGTGGAAGTATGAAAAATGGATAAGACAAGGAAGACGTCTTAAAAACTAATTTGTATCTAAATTTACAATATAATTATTGTATGATAATATTGTAAATAAATTGTTTATTTTTATCATTCAACAAATTTGTGTATGAATAAACAAATAAATCTTGGAGTTATTCAGCATACTTTTGCCCATTGATGAGGATCTTAATGTATTCATGAACTAACTTTTAGTTTGTCATGACAAGGACTTATAATATTAGTATTTGCTATTTTTAAACATTATGTACAGATAAAATAAAAGAGTTAGTTATAAATGTTTTATATGCATCAAGGATTTCAAATATAAAATTTTATAAGGCATAATTTTAGGTATTTTAGATTTTTAGTGTTACTAATAAGTAGGACTGAGGACTTCAAGTTTTTTAATATTTGTCTAGAAGAGTCACAGAACAATGTGAGTGATGTATAAATATGTTTCCTAACACAAGAAGGTTAAACTTACAATTTTATTTTGCTTATTTTGTCATTATCGCATGTAAATGCATATTTGAGTATATATGACAGATTAAGAGCATACATAGGTACACATTTGGAAAATGTTGATGTTAAATATAATACAACAGATAAAAATATTATTTTCTGAATGTTCGCCTATATTTAATATAAATATATTAATACTAATATCCGATCAGTTAGGTAGTTCACTATCTGCCTGATATCATTGCTATGTGGGATTGTAGGAAGTAAACTTTAGCTTGTCATCATTTATCGCTTACTGTTGGTCGATTATCGTGCAATTAATTTTTCAAGTAAAATATATATAGTAGTATATGATATTATAATTTTTTAGTGAGCACATCTTAAGTGCATATTATTTGATTTTTAAATGCGTATGTACATACAAATTTTGATTTTTTTGAGTACTTGAAGTTGACAGCCCTACTAATGAGCATTAAAATAAATTTTCTTTACTATTTTATAAATATCTTAATATAAATTAAAATAGAAAAAAACGTATACAGTCTAAAAACACCAACTTTTTATTCAGTGGCGTGCCAACAAGGTAGGATGATGAGCAACGGCTTGAAACGAAAAACTGATCACCATTATTGATGTACAATCTTTATAAAAAATGATATCATTGGGAAATTAAAGTGCAATAAAATATAACAAATTAACTATTAAGAATAATGGCACACAAACACAAACATAGTTATATCATTTTGTAGATTATTTTTGCTGTTAGTGGTGTTAGCTCGTAGTTATTGGCAATACTGTAATAATTTTAGTTAAGGAATAATGGTTATATTAGGTCATTATTTTAGATGAACTAAAAGACCAAGGCTGTGCAAGTTAACAATATTTTTTAACTAAGTTAAGTTAAGTTAAATTAAAATCTAAATCTAGTTAAAAGTTAAAAGTTAATCCAAAATTGTCTATCAATGGAACTAAGTTAAGTGTTAACCAACATTTAATATTAAGTTTTTGACTCAAGTTAAATTAGTTAAAAAAAAAAGTTTCTTGTTTTCATATTGTTGGTAAAATAAAAATAATCGGTACCTAAAATTGTTCATGTTATTAGACCAAAGAACTATTATTATTTTATGTGTTTCAAAAGGTAACAGTACACATTTTTTTAGTACACTTACAAGTTACAACTTATAAAATGTGTACCAGCAATTTGTACTCCTACAATAGTTCATATCATTTAAAAAAAATTTATACCTACTTTTAATAAATAAAAAAAATTCATATGTATATACATTTGAAATTGTATTTTTTGTTTTTCTGCAAATATTCCTAAGTATTAATTGCTTATTATTTTCAATTTTATAATAATAAAATAGCATTTTAAACTTTACTTTAAATTATACATTTAAATTGTATAAATATAATAAAATATATTTTATATAGCTAAAGTCTAAAGCTCCCGTGTAGACACAATGAAGGTAGGTAATTTAATATTTAAAAAATGATATGAATCAAATAACGGCATAGATGCCAAAAAATAACGGGCATTGCTAATATTAGTAATTTCATAATATAATTAAGTATTTATATTTTATACGAATTTGAAAACATATTGCATAATAGTTAAAATTGAAATTAACTTAACTTTTTTAAACTCAAGTTAATTAAAAATCTTCTAAAGTTAATAATCATAAGAAAATTAACTTAACTTTAACTATTATTAAAGCGTTAATACCCAGCCAAAGACCATTTGCTTATAATTTAGATAATATAATTATTATATGCTTTTCAAAAAAATATTGTTTTAGAGTGTCTAATTCTGGTTTAAAAATTGGACGTACATTTCAGAGGTGTTATTCATTTTTCTTCAAAAAGCGTATTTTGGAGGGCATGACCAGTCTCCACCAAAAGTGTACCTTTCCCTTTTCTTCCAAATGAAAAAATATGACTTCATAAGAGAAATATCATAACATAGTAAGTTATAAGAATGTAATGATAAAATATGCCATTTATATTTTATGTGAAATAATAATAAAAAAATAATTTTAATAGTATATGTAAATTATAATATGACATTTATGTAAAATAAAAATGAAAAATGCACAGGTAAATAGTATGACACTTATAATTCTATTAGCTAGGTAACAATATTCTTACTCATTAACAAATCAAACCAAAAGAATCATTGTATACAAAAAACAATTCTGAGAGAAGATGGTCTATCTGCCAATAATATTACTAAATACATCATTCAAAACATCGTTTGAAGTTATCTTTATTATAATTAATTATTTCTATAGTATGTAAAATGAGTAAATAACACCATGAAAAATAAAAAAATCTGAAAATTGGGGTTGGATGTGAGAAATTGAAAGTATTTAATAAAACAGTACTACTTAACCTAAGAAAGGGTTTCAGGGAATTTCCCTCAGTAAAATGCAACAAATGTCATACATAGAACAAAAAAAAACAATACTATTATATTTTGTGGATAAGCTAGATATGATTTATTGATTATCAATATATTAATCAATTGATTTATATCTTACACCACGATATGTATATTGTAAGTAAATAGGTACTACAGAGTGTCTTGGGTAGGTAACTCTTTTTAACATAAATTGCAGTTTAACCTACTTTATTATAGTGTTATATTACCCTATACTTTTAAACTTATACAAACATTGTTTGAACTATTTTTATGATGCTTTTGAAAATTATTGATTAACCTTTTATTTTCTCAACAGAAACGTTACTGAAGCTGAACATAAGTTAAATTAAGTTTTTAATAAAAATTAAATTAAAAAAAAATCAGGTAAGTGGATAACGCTCTGATGTACATTAGGTGTCTAGAAAATAGCTGTACCTAATGGATGTGTTAAATAAAGACGGTCTGTTGGCCTATAGTATTACTAAGTAGGTATATTTTATGATATCATTGTGATTAAAGTAATTTATTTTACTATTAGGCATTAATATAGTTACCTAATACAGTGTATAGTATACTACAGTGAGTTAAATTCAATTTTGCCGAATACACTCGATTTGAAAATGTAATTGTGTGTATTAAATATAATAATATACCTACTCTAAAAGTTTAGAGTACTCATGAGTAATATTTTTTAATTACATCAAAATAACTAAAATATTCTTGGTTTTAATATGTGATTTCATCTATATTTGAACTTAAAATCTGTGTAAAAAGAATTGTGTTTATACATTTTTTTTATATTTTTTGGTTACAGTATGAAATATTTATGACAATCCTTGTTTTACATTTTGAATTCTTCGTTATAAAAATTGAACATTTACACATTTTTTAACTACAAAATAATTTTAAAATTCTAAAGATTTTGATACATTTTGTCATAATTTGAAATTTAAATATTAAAAAAAAAACATGCCTATGGACCTTAAATATTCATCAACTGCTGGTATAACAATTTATGAGAAACCTTGTATTAAATTTCAATTTTTTATCGGCAATAATTTAAAAAAAAACTAATAAAAAAAATAAAAATCTTCTTGGTATGCTTATAAATAGCTCAAAAAGAGCCGCGTTATTTTGAAAATTGTATTCATGTAAATAATAAATATGTAATTATGGAGCTATATTTATTAAATGGTAAATAATTTGGGCATCTTAAAAATAGTTCAAATTCACTAAAATATAAACGTCGTTTACATTAATGTTCAATATGAAAAAAAAAATGAATGACGTTCTTTAATATAAAAGGTAGGTATACTAAACATTTCTACAGACTAGCAAATAAAACAAATTATTGTTATTATTATAAAAATATGAACTTGGACGTGTGAACCAAATTCATGAATGGCGTTCTTTGACTGAGTCTAACCCCTTTCCTAAAATTTGTAAAAGTGCCGCTTTATTATTTTGCACGGTCATTAGGAGTTCCAGTTACGTCAATGGACTTTCATTGTATACATTGTATTATGATTAAGCCATTAGGGTAAGATATATAGAAATAGATTATTGTAAAAGACATGCTATATATCACTGTATTTTTTCGTCAAGACATCCCACATCATTGCTAGATGTTGTTACCCCTCTCGTACTTCTGTTGTTCATTAGGCGTAGAATGAGGTGGGGGCTAAGGGGCTATAGCCATCCAGAATTCTGTTAAGCCCCCTCAGAATTCCCAGGAAGTTCCGGCAGCGTCGTCGATACCTCAAGGGGAAAAAAAGGCTATAGCCCCCCATATAAATTAATTACGCTATATATGCTATTATACACAGTTCTTGTCTATTAGTATATTAAGGTCTATCGGTACCTATATGGGTTGTTCAGGCTGGGATACTACCAGCCTTTTTGGAGATTTCTAGTTAACTGCCCTGCACTTTTGGGGATTCCCACTTTACCAGTTACCACCCACTGGTCGGAAAAGGTCGCTCTCCAATTCTTCAACCGTCAATCGTCATCACTCACCGAAAACTAAGTTTTCTGTGTAGACGTGGTAAAAAATATACTAAACCTCTCGATATGCACGGAGTTATATGTTCTCAATATTCGTGTAGCCTGCAGGAACACTTCAGTTGTTGCAGTCAATAGTTTTTTTTTGGGAATATTTCGCAATTTTTGTTGCATATACAGTGTATACTCTCGATTATCCGCTTTCTTCCTCGGAATCATCTACATACCTTAATGACTAATGTATACAAAAAAATATATATACACACATATATTTACATTATAAATCATTATCAGTTTAATTGGGTGATAATATTTGTGATTGCCGATTACTCGATGACGACGTAAAATACAATATGGTTGTTTAATATTAATACATAATATGCATGTAAATATTATGTTATATGTTCGGAAAAATTTTTTTTCAATTTTCAATTTCCAATTTATTTTTTAATATTTTTTTAATTTTGCGGATTATCCTCGGAATTCATTTATCCGTGGATGTCCTGCCACCCTATTCATCGGATATTCGAGAGTACACTGTATATATTAATATATTATATTTATAACGCATATAGTAAATATTGTTGTACAATGTATTTTGGAAATCATTTAAGGTACATCAAAGTAAAGAATAAATAACTGAAGACATGGTTTTGTTATACTTTTTTTTTAATATACACTCAAGCAAATACAGTAAACGAAATATGATAATATTAAGTATAAAGAAATACAGATTATTAATTAATTATAAAATAATAATATTCATTTTAATAATAATAATAATTAAAGATAATAAGTACATAGGTAATAGATAATAGGTAATACATAATATTTGATTAATATGACTTATGTTTTCAACTGCACGTATTTAAGCGATTTGAAAGTTTTTTTGAAAATCTACAATATAATAGGTACAGGTATCTAAACATAACTACAATGATACTGTTATTGTTGCCAAATAATTAATTGTTGTAGACTTTACTTGTCTTGGGTTTTAGGAACAAAGAATTTCAAAAATAATTTAGACAGGTCTTTGAAATGTTGTAAGCTTTTGTGTGGAATATTTATTTTAATTTATCAAGTAATCAATCAGTCACCCCTATATACTTAATAGATACCTATTATACTTGTTCTGAGTATAAGTCAATGGTACCATCATTACTGGGACACATTAACCGTACATCGATGCACACATTATTTATGAATATTCTGCATAGAATAATGAATATAGGAAACATTACATTTGAAAAAGATAAAAAAACAAATATTATGGAGATACGAAAAAAAAAGAAACACAACAGAAACAGCATTTCAAAGATAGGTATCGTAAAAAGTTCATCTGTAATTCAACGGAATTCTCTTACCGGACATGTGGAGTCCGAAACGAGAAATATTGGTTAAAAATGTAAAAAAAAAATAACAATATTACAAAATTCTGTATTTACTATCATCCGTGCAATTTTATGATATATATATTTATACTTAATAATAATATACGATTTAAAATATGCAATAATGTATAATAATATTATTTAACATTCAAATTATTATTATATTGGATGTATATATTGTAATATCATTATAGCGTATAATTTATTCATAAATAGTTATTTTAAACGTTAGAAACGTTAAACGTAATATTTTAAACTTAACCTATTAAACGGATAAATCGAATCTAAGAGCAGTTGGAAAACTAAAACAAAGTAGAAGAGGTGTACACATAAGTGGTTACGTGTATACCACATAGGCGTATGTTAAATGCGATTGGTACATCTGAGTTTTAAAAACATATTTTTTTATCAATTATAGTTAAACACACGTTAATGATTTTTATTATGTTATAAAAAATAAAAGAAAAAGAAATATCTTATTACGTATACCTATAATATTATTATAATCATGTATTATACAAAATAGCGTAGTTACCTATACGTATAGGTAGAAACCTATACAGAAAGGCGCGAACGTTTTCATGTTCCTATACGCTTTTGATCGGGTAATGAAAATCTTGTGGACGAGAATACAATAATATTATTATAGTGTTGGTAAAAAAAGAAAAAACAAACTGCATGGCCATAATTTTATTTACTACCGTTTTTGGAAAAATAACACATACCACACACATAGTGTAATGTATACCATGCGTGTACGTTTATGCGCGGCCATTGCGAACGGTCGATGTAGTTATGTGTTATATCCGAAAAAAATATAAATCCGTTCGGCGTGCGTAGTATTATAATAATATGTTGGTTTGCAGGTATGTTAATAATACAGGCAGATGGATGATATCATAATAAACGATAGTTAGGTAAGTGTGAGTAACATACCCGCCTATAATACTTTACTATCGACCAACTCGGCCCACCCGAACCATCAGCGCCCGACTATAATATCCGTATTCCCGGCTGCACGAGTCGTGTGCAGAACGTCCGAATAGTTTCGCAGCAAACATCGTATAGAGGTACCTTGAAGGCGGGTTTTAACTGTATACACGTCCGCTATAATCACCTGTTGTGATTGGATGGTTAGGTTTGGTTACCACGCAATTAACCACATTACCATGTGGTTGGACACGGCTGAACACTTCTTGTACACGGCACAAGACAGTCCATATAGCGGAAATTCGTCTTAATTGTTCGGACATAGGTACGAACGCCGTTACGATGCATTTGCGTCTGTCGTATACCACACTGTCGAACGCGGTTTAAACCGGCTCGGTATATTGGTCGACACCGTTCACCTCCTATGCGATGTTCAGACTTTTCAATAGGTACATCTGCCTCGCATTCGATTTGTTCGCGGAGAAAATTGCTCGGTGTCAATGTTTTCAAGAAAACGGCCATTAACAAGATAATATTTGATACCTACGACATAATAATATTATCGTGGATGCCGTTTAAATTGAAGTTTCAGATCCCGATGGCTCTATTTTTGTTTGAAAAAAAAAACATAATTAAGCTTTAGTCATAAGAAAAATCTAGCAGGTAAGTACTTTTAAAATCGATTTTTGCCTTCAGAATGATGGATTTTATTCTACGCAGCCGACATTTCATTGTTTTTGATTTCAAGTTATTAAGGATGTTTAGGGATATTAAATATATTATGTAATGGCTATATAGGTACATCTGGAATGGTATCATTCATAATATATAATACTTTTTTGTTGAAAACATTCTATGCAAAATAACTCGATTTCTAGTTTTATACAAACAGAATATTTGCTGGACACGTTTTTTTGTTTGTCTTGGTTAATACGTAATAATAGATTAAAATATACCACATATTACTAAAATTATAATTAATAACGTTTTATAATAACACAATATAATCATTACACCTATTCTACTATAAATAAGAATTAAACACTACAAAATACAGTCGTTCAGAATACAAACGATAATGCCATCTAAACTTTTAACACATGAAATTTCACAAATAGCTTAATAATTTTTTTAACATTTAAAATAGTATGACAGAAAAAAAATGATTTACATCATAATTATATGACAAATGAATTATGTTGTATAAATAATCAATTTTTTTTTTCATTCTAAAGCTTAAATATAAATCACTTATCAACTATTATTATAATATTATTTTTAAAAGTCGCAGTTTATATTTTATTTATCAGATGTTGAATATGAATATTATTGTTGGTAGTTTATAGAGATGTTTAAGCTATTTTTTTTTGTATTTTAGGTATTGTCCATTAGAGAAACAAATTTTTTTTTGATTCAATTTTTTTTAAAAATATATTTTTGCAATATTGATTGAAATTTGATGAATTTTTTATCATATTGTTCGAAATATAGCTATGTAGATATAGACTATTAATATTGTTTTTATTGTTTGCTCGGTTAAGGAATTTAAATATTTAAATGGGTAGTTGTCATTTTTTATAAACAGATATCATATTTAATTTTTTTTTAGGTTTTTGATGGGAATTTCATTGTTAAGAGTATACACACTTTTAAGTATTTTATTTGCATTAACTTTTTTTTCAATGCTATTGCATATAATGAATGTATTGATAAACATAAGCATACGACTTTTATTGTTGGTAATTTATACCTCTAATTAAAATATATTAACATTAAAATTAAACGTATAATAATAAAAATCTACCAATAAAATACTTTACCTCCTAATGACTTAAAATATTAAGTTTAAACAAAATGTTATGTTCTAAATATATAGGCATCCATTTACATACTTTCTAATTATCAGTTATGGTTCAGAAGAGTTTAATACTTTATTTGGCGTTCACACAATTGAAAAGGTACCTTAACATTTTAATTAAACATCAAATTAAGTATAATGGCTTAAATTAATTTACTTATGTTAATTTTAAATCGTTCAATGTTTTTGAAATGTAGTAATAAATATAAGACATGTTTTTGCTTTGTCTTTATGTATACGAATTCGCGATCTGCATTTTTGATAAAATACTAAGATCTAAAAGTTTTTGAATCGCAAAAATTATGGTTGTCAATGGTTCAGTGGTTGTTACAATATTATGCATTCTGTTATTGATGATGCATATCATCTCACATAAGCGCCTCATAAGAAAACTGTATTTTTTAATAACGCTAGGTTTTATACTCATAATGAATATAACTTTATTAATATTGCATAGTTATTAAATGCGACGGAAAATAAAAATGTACAATTATTTTGGAATCTGGGATATCATTTTATTTATGAAGTACAACGAAGAAAGTGTGCAACAATGACATACTTAGTGTTATAAAATGAGTTTATTAAAAATTAATTTTGGTTATAGGTAAAACCATCGAAAGACACAATTGTACAACTGAGAACATAATTTAAATACTCTTGAAGTTTTTCCATAATATTCATGATGAAACAATATTACTTAATCGAATAACACAACGTCTAACACGGCTAAACAATTGGCTAAGAATTAATCGTTTAATATTTTTGGAATTATTTTCTGATAGAAGGTAAATTATTAGTATAATATTGGTGCTTAATATTATTTATATGTGTGGCATTAGGGTAATGCACAGTGATTGGTTTTTAGTTTTAATTAATTTGTATGTATGCTAATTTTGATTTTTACTTATCACTGGCCGATTAAAATTATATTGTTTCATAGATATAGCTGCTAAAATTTGATCACTCAAAATTCTTCAGGAATGTCATTCAAAAGCATATTTAATATTTGTCACTGATGGCGTAATGTACATTATATCGTTATAATTAATTAACATTGGCCATTTTATTTTAATGACTGTAGTAATAACCATTTTGAAACTCGCGATTCTTGTACAGCTTATAAATAGGCGCCTAGTGATCCTTGCATATATTAATGTATATGATGTCGCTATTTTATTTTGAATTGTTTTTTTCATAGATATTTTATCGTCCCGGTATTATGCTGGTCTCTGCAGTTTATCGTACATCTACTAAACTCATTATAGAGAGTTTGTAAAAAACTGTGTCGATGTTCATCGGTGTACGATGAATGATGATCATATAGTTGTATTGATCGTTATCGTAAAGATACATTTTAGGACAACACCGAGTGAAGGATTCAAAGAAGACAGTCTTTAGCGTGATTTGAGTTTTATTGGCTCAGGGTTTTGGTCACATTCAGAAAAAAGATAATGAAAAGAACAACTTAAGTGACGAAACTAAAGTGATTTAGGTAAGAAATAGTATCTTTCTGGACAAGTAAAAATAAAACCGTACATGAACCTGGGGGGGAGGAGGAGGAGGTGGTGGAGGAGGAGGAGGATTAGGAGGGGGTAAATACAAGGCGTTTGGTACTGCTGAGTGAATGAGAATAAGAATTAGTATTGTTTCAATTTTAAAATCCATCAAATATTTAAATGAAGTTACAAGCACTTGGAGGGCGCAGGAGCCTTGCCAAGATATTAATCAACCGGCAGAAAGTCAAGTTGCATAACCGACTCATAATAGATGAACAACGTTCGATTGGTTATTTTGGGCGGGTAAGCATAAATGTTCTACTGGAGACAGGACGTTTGAAACAGAATGGTACTTTGAACTACTGCTGTCGTATTATTAGAGTGTAATAGATGCGACGTGCGGACTACAATGGCGGTGGTAGAATTATTATAATTATTAATTTAACCTTTAATAGATCACGTGCATACGAATTGAGAACAATATCAATCGGCTAGTAGTATAGTATGTCAGTGTCGTATATTGTTACTATAACTACGTGGAGTCTTTATAATGTAGTGCGTGGTATCTTGAAGTAGACGGTATGGTATAGTGAAGGATTTTCGGTGTGGTCCATGTTTCGATGATGGGTTGCGGTGAAGAAGGTTATCCGTGAAAACATATGGAGGGTATAGGTAGGGACGTGTGGTGCTGAAATCATAGAATAGAAAATATAAATTATATACAATTCAGACTTCTCTATTACTGCAGTTTGTATACAACGGTAATTTTAATGATTAAACTCATGCACGATGATGTGTAAAATACATTTTTAATATAGGTATTCAGGGGTTTTGTTTTATTGCGTGTATCGTTTACAAGAAGTTTCACTATTTTTTATACATATTTTGAAATTATATTGTTTTAATACTTAATATTATATACATAAAAAATAATGTTTCAAAATGTGGGTTTGTGGAAAATTCATAAATGTTTAAGTACTTAACCATCATCGAATTATTATCTTGTACTTAGTTGTTTTAACATGGGGTTTACGCTTAAAAATTTACTTTTTTAGTTATTTTATGATTAATTATCGTATTGATTAGAGTTAAAAAAACATGTTTCTAACAAAAATAATTGATTCTAATTTTCTCTAATAATTTTTTTAAAATGTATTATCTATAATTTATGATTTGTATTTAAATATGAATTCTGTGGATGATTCATAATAGTCATAATTAAATATGTGTTTATAGATTACAATCATTTAATTCGTTTCAAAAGAGATACACATAATATACGATGCACAATATGCATACGATTTCTACGAGTTTTATTATTTTCATATAAATCTACTCTACTCTATGTATTCTTTAATTGTTTTCGAAGAATAAATTACGTTATCTAAATGTTTACAAACAAATATTTTTTATTTGTTTTTTTAAATTAAAAGTATTCTGTAGCTTACGGTTTCTATTTGTTTTTGAAATTTTATATAAAATATGAGCATACTAAAAATTATTTAATATACAATTAATATTCAACATTGTTCAATAAAATAGTTAGGTAAATAAATAAATTACTTGCTTATTTACTCAATGAATATTTTTATAAAGATTTGTATCTTCTATAGTCTTATGTTTCTATCAATATGTACAATTATATTAATAAATTACTGAAGGGTCAACTAAATCAGTGAGTAAAAACCAATGTTAAAAATAAAAATAAATTTTACATTCATATAATAATGGCTTATATAAATATATAATGAAAATCAGTTTAGTTATCCTAATAACCTAATACAATATTATAATGTAATATGCATTTAATCAAATTACCTTTATTTTTGGAATTTAAGCAAGATAGTAGGTGACCATAGCCATGATGCAAAGCAATGGTGTTTGGATGGTCTTAGGAGCCGCCTTGTTGTTAATAGCAGTGATGCTCATATCTCTCAATTCTGGGTCTGATTTTAAACAAAACAGTTAGGTGTTACAATTATAATTAAAATTCATGTTATCAAGTAATAAAATAAATACAGAATATTACTAACCGGAAAGAACTGAATTTCCTGGGTGTGCTTCTGTAAATTTAATAAAAATATACAAATTAATTAACAATATAATAATTAAAGACAATAGTATTATTATAATTCCATGTTGATAACAATTTTCTTGATAGATAAATTATACAATATACAATACACTTCAATATTCAAACAGTATTCATCATCAAGGTGCAATAGTCATTACTTATTCAATATACCTATAACGAAAGTTACAATATAAAAACGAGTGAATAAAAATAATAAAACAAAAAAAATATACCTATACGAAGGATCGTAATTTACGAGAAACCTAGAAGAGCTTAAAATAAAAATAGAAACATATTTTATCACTTTTATCATACTTGACTTATTTAATTAACCATTAAATTATAAAAAACCAACTGATTATGAAATGTAATAAAATTAAGGAAACCGAGAATAAGCTCGGATGGAAGAGAGAAGTCTGTAAGCTAAGAAAACTTAATACTTTATTGTATACCAAAACGAGTTAAGGTTTCAAGAATTTTTTAACGACTATTAGTATACTAGGTAAGCATAATCTTAATTTGTTTCTATTTCTTTATTTATCACTTTTATATTCGTTTAAGGATAAGTAATGTATGCTAGGAAACTAAACAAGAACTGAATTATCTATGAAATAATAAAACATAATATATGTAAGTAATAAATACATCATTATTATTATTTAAAATGCTCGTGTATAAATTAAGCTTAAGATCGACCCAAACGCTCTTACGAATCAATTAAAGTACCCATTACTGGTGATGAGTTTTTTTATTTATAGCACACAAATTATGATAAATGCATTATAATGACAAGATTTAGTGTTCTTACTCAAATGGAAATATGGAATTGTATCGATTAATTTATTTTTAGATCAAATCTGGTTGTATGTTTTGATGTATGTAGGACGTCGGAGTCACGAGTTTAGGCGAAAAGACATAATTATTTAACTAGCGGTGATTAATGTATAAATATTAAATGTAGATATGTTTAGACTTTTGGGGATTATTGAACTAACATAAATGCTAGAATACGTGGAGTAAACCGCATTGTCTATAAGAGTTTCTAATCAACACGGTTCACAGGGAAAACAAAAATGTACCGTTCTTTGTGCTGGTGGTGAAGAAGAAAGATTGGGAAACTTCGCTCCAACCATAGCGGTTTCTGGATTGAACGGTTGCCTCGTATTTGGTGCCAGGGTCCAAGTCTCGGATGGTTTCAGTCCGGCTCTTTTCCAATTGGTCGGTGGATGCAGGGTTAAGCAACAGTTCTGTCCAATCATCGTTCCACTAAAATATGAAAATCATAATTGGACTTAGGTATTTTACAATATTAGATACATATTTTACCGAGGCATAATGAAAGCAATATAATACCGATGTAAATCATACTTCCTCTTACACACATGGCGTATACAGGGGTGGGGTGGGGGGGTTTCAGCTCCCGCTCTTCCATTGGCCCTGTCTTGGTATAAAATGTATATAATAAAAGGCAAGGAAAAAATTATTATATTCCTGAAAATAGTTGTAAAAAAACTTTTTGCGTTTTATCAATTATTTGTAGTGGTTATTAGTTACAGGATATAATAGTAACAAACAAGTATTAGGTAAAGGATATAAAATTCTGATTTACTTTGTTTTACCCTCCCAAATTGATAAATCCTGGGTACTCCTGCACTGTCTATGCTGTATACCTATTATTTTAAATGCTAGTACTTCATGCCTTATGGTACATAACGTACTTTTAGTGGTGTATGATTTACTTTATTCTTGTGATTCAGTAATAAATATAATAAACATAGTATTAATATAATAGATGCCGGGTTGAATTCCATTTGTTTTGAATAAGAAAACAATAGAAGTACATATGAACTTGCATTCAGAACACGATAAAAACGATGAAGTATACAGAAGAATTCATACCAAATAAATCTTAGCCCGACAATTCATATTTTTTATGTTTTAAATTGTATTTTATATTCTTATTACACTAGATAACCCAAAACAAAACATTATGTTTCGTATTATTATTTATGTAGTAAAACTAAAAACAATATAAGAGTATATACAAATTGTAAATTATTTGAGTCTTAGTGTTTTTGAAAAAAAAGAATCTCGCTATGATTATATTACTAGAAAAACGCTAATTATTTTTATGATGCTACTCTGCGCAGTCTGTATAATACTTGTACACAGTTCTATAACGATAAATTGAATTATTTTTCCTCGTTATTATAAAAAGTTGAAAAATACGGTCTCGATGGTTATATTATAGCGGCACGGTGTTAAAATGAATATTGTAGTTTATGTTTGTAACCAATACTTGTAAAAAAACCATTAGGTTGCTGCATAATGCACTGGAAGAAAAAAATACTCTGTGGAGATTTTTAAAGTAGTATATATTATACAATGTTCTTAACTACAACGTATGATTATAAGAATATTATACGATTTTAAGAATACGATGGCTATTATTTTCTAGTACACGATTATACCCTTTGAATATGTGTATATGACCTATTCTATAGGTGTATATATTAAATGTACCCATAATACACGACAGGACAGTGGGAAGAGGAACAAAATGAATGTTGTATTATTTTGATGCCAACACTTTTTAGATGTAACGGTTAACGGAAGTTCTACTGTAAAAAATATTAATACGGATTATAGTTTATAATAATTATATAGGAATAACGATTACAGTAAAAACCAAATAGTATTATAAACATTATAACCTATATACACACTAACAATCACCAAATTCATGCTCCATAACTAAAGCTCTTCGTTTTCGCTTCGATTACCTTCAAAATTTTCATTAAAAGAACAGCCGAAGTTAGGTCACCGCAAGAAATTTAATCGACACTATAAACTCCCAATTTCCTTGTCTAGCAAATGCATTGATGTAATTCGCCAGGTATATATTTAAAACGATTCAATGATTATATCGAAAGTGCATAAATTTGTTATTAAATAGAGGTAATTGTATAAACTTATGAATTCGCAAAATTATAAAATTGATCCCTTTATTAGTACCTATACCTAGGTATTCAATGTATGTAGGTATATATTATTGTCTCACATAATATGGATTAAAAATGATTAATTAGAAATTGTGAAATTTCGTATTTAAATAGAACATTCGGTTTGAAAATTCCAAAATCCACAATTTTTTTGAACGAGATTTATTCAAAAAATTGCCCTCAAAAATTAAATGCTGAAATCGAATTTTAAATTTATAATTAATTTTGATCATTAAAATAAAAAATGTATGTAATTTAGAATTCGAATTTGATATAGTCTTCTGAAACGATCGAAAAATAGATTTATGATAATTCATACTTTGTAATAGTCATGTTCAATAGTTGAATGAAAATAATAAAAGTAATAGGTAGAGTACAACTATTATAAGACACAATTGTTTTTAATTGGGTGATTGAATACCTATTTATTAGGTACTCTTATGGTTAAATGGTGATGTATTTGGACGTTAAGGCGTTTAGCCGAGTACGAATAGGCTTGGACGTGGTATATGAACAGGGCAAAATGTTTTGAGTCAATAAGGTCGGTCAACGTGCAAAAGATTAACACCGAGGTTCGGGGGTTACCACGAGCGGGGTATATAATATGTTTAACGTGTCGCTGGGATCGACTGATATTTTAGTGGCAAAGACGTAAAAATAATCCATACATCGACGCACTACACTGATGGGGGGTATAGTCGGTGTAGTACGAGTGTCTTTATCGTTTCAGTGGATTTTTATGAGACTCCGGTGGCGCCTGCAAACATTACATTTCAATAGGTCCGCACCTCCGTCGCCACACTCGGCCATTCGTCTTTTTATAGTCTACAAACGAGTATGTATATATGGCAATAATAGTTGGGGTGTGTATACTACGCACACATATTATTATATAGACTATCGTTTCGAGGTATATATAAAAGAAAAAAAATAATAAATAAATATATAAAGAGATTCTCTTCCCGGACTCTTTGCGCTTACACATTATTCGCATTTGAGTCTGTGCGTTATACGTATACGCGAACCGGCGATATATAGTAATTATATTGCGGACGATATACCCCGCCACGTACGTACGTATATGCATATGTGTTTCATATATATATATATGCGATATTTTGCTTAAATAAAACGGTTCAATTAACAGCACGTCCCCCCGACCCCAAGAACGGTGGTACATACTGCTGCTGCAATCGGCGGCGGTGGGAATAAAATCTACTCCGGGGGCGAGCGTTCATATTATGCGTTAATTTCGAATTGCCCAAATGTCATAAAACGTAAAAGCCTGGGCGCAGGGATTTGCAATTTTCAAATCGGTTTATAGCTGTGTCTACATTTACGGCTTCCATGATAATACAAGTTCATAAATTTGTCAGCCGGAACTCCCCAATTAATACCACTCTGCGAGCAACATATTTTCCGCTTTTTATTAGGGCCATTTGCGCGTAAAGTCTTTGGGGACCGATATAGACAGACGGAACGCATATACGTTTTTCGGTGCTTATATTAATCGAAATTAATGTGTACTGTGGCCGCCGTTGCAATAATTTTTAAGAGTGTTTTGGTAGCTGTGGTGGCGGACGGACCACGAGATTTTGTTTGCTCATCGAAACATGTTTCCAATACACCATTATAATAATAATGTAAAATTTAAATAATATTAAATCATATCGAATTGGATTGACAAATCAATGTGATTGTCTTAGACTTACGCGACAAAATATAACCATCATTTTGCACTTGTGCAGTATACGTTTAGATTTCACCTCAAGTTTCTTATATACAAGACATTATAATATTATGCATATTATAAATGCATTATACGATGATAGGTTCATGCGCATACTATAGTAAACTTACTTTTTTGATCAAAATATGCCATTAAGAGCTCTGCAGTAGTACTTCAGTATTAAAAAGTAATATTAGTTCTGAAATGTTTTTACTGTAATACTGTTAATTTATTAAAGATTCTAAATGCATTTTAATTTTAACGTACCTTATATATACTGTTAAAGTTTTGGAAAGACCAGAATATCAAACGAATGCGAATGCAATTTTCATGAGTTTGTTATAAGCTTTAGTACTCTAGAACATTCATTCCTTTTATGTACGTATTATATGAATTATGTTTTGATTTTCATATAAACACAATTACATTTTCAGGTTTTTGGTTTGTCTATCAATTATTAGTAAAAACATAATGGCTTATTTTTTTAAACATACGTATTTATGACGAGCAGAAGTCGATAACTTGAATAATTATAATAATAATTATATTCGTGTTTTACTTACTTTAAGGTTAGGTTAGAATTGATTGAACACATTGTTGTCAACTAATGATGTCGTGATATTTCTATATATAATCCCTCTAGCACGAAGTGTGACTTTTATTAACCTAACATTTGTTCATAAATTGCTTAATTATTTTATGTTTGACTATCTTGAGTAAAATTAACTATAGCAGGATCCTTTTATTCAATCCTAAAGTCCACAAAATTTCAAGCTTGGGGCGCTAGCAAGGATCTGGACGAGTACAGCATGCTTATTGCAGTCAGATATTGATTAATGATTTCTGCCATGCTTTGAAAGTGAATATTTTTATATTGTGATTGTTCGTTTATCATAGTCTAGTCTGAGCAGTGAATTGAATGCACTTAAACCATGAAATAAATGTGCACATATGAGGTAACAATTTTCACATATAGGCATCGCAAATTCAAAGTCATGTAAAATAAATTCAACATAATTATCAAAATGGCTTGAAAAATAGGTACCAATTGATATAATGCTCAAAATTTCAAAAACATAATTTTTTTTGTAAGAATTTGTGTAAAATAAAGTTTGTATGATGGAACATTGTAATAAAGTTATAAAATGTCATTGAATTATCTGTATCTTATCTACGTGTAATTTTAGTTATATTATATTCTCAAAACTGGCGCTTATGCCTCGAATAAAATTTGTATCTCAATTATTTTGAATTCAATGTAAAAAATCATAAAGTCACATCTCTGATTGTAAACTATCATCTAACTTAATTTATCCACTTAATAATCAGCAATTATTGTTTCATCTATCCATTATTAATAAACTAATATCTCAATGTAGTGCAATCATAACAATCATAACATTGTGCAACGCAGTGCAGGTTCGAGAATAAAATTAGGTAATTACATTTTCTTTAATTGGAATTTTGAATAGTTTTGCACTGACACTCTTCGGTACTTATTAGTTATTTATTGCGAACTTTAGGCCGAGAAGAAAAGTTGTGATTATGCGCATTGTTTGTTAGTTTGTTTGTCTGTTTTTTATTTTATCTGCTAAATTACTCGTAACTAATTTGGCCAGTACATCACTATAGCTATAGCTGGTGTTGGCGATATTACAATTTGTAAGACCCGTAGTCATTGAAGTAACCGATTAAGACGATATTATATTGTTATACTTACTCTTCTCATGGGACGTTTATACTGGATTTCTTGGTTGCTCTTGTTTGTCTTGTCCGGACGGTAAAGTAATTTGTATTCTATAATCGGGCTGTAGCTTTTCACTGTCCATAACATTTCGTATGAATTTTTTGAACGGCTTTGTTTCGAGCTGGTGATGACCGCGACGTCTGGTCTTCCTGTAAACAGAGACATTTTTAACATTCACACTTGTTGTTTTGGTTACATATATTTTGTAACACACCTATTGTTCGGTTAGGTACCTAGATAATTAATTTTTTTAATTGTATCTATCGTTACATGTATTAAAATCAATATCGGGGTTTAATGACAAAAATATCATTTAAAATTCTTATAAAAATATTATTTTCTACAAAATTACTGTACCATCTAGTTGAAGCTAAATGCTTATAAAAATTATTTTGAGAACACATTAATCATTATATTACATCATTACAGTCCTAGCATCATATTATATTTGTTTATTTTGCTTAAGTTGGAATCTAGGGGAAGTTTATCTCCTTAAACATTTACTGAAGACTCCTAAAAATTTAGGTTGGAGCCAAACCTTAAGTTTTAGTTTTACTAAAATTGTGGAGCTTCAACCCCTATATATTTTGGACTATTTGTGCCTTGAAACTTCAGTATGAGAAATTTAAGCTCAATCTTGATCATGTTTTTCGTTTACATCGTATGTAGAGCTAGAACTTTTCTTCAGAAAAGCTTGATGATATTATTTGACTTTTTTAAATTTATTTTTTACACTTATTTGAACCACCATAATTATTTAACAAACATTTTTAAACTGAAATACAAATAAAAAAATCACTTACAAGCAATACAATTAATATTTATTTATTACTTATAGCAGGGCTTCTCAAATTTGGTCGGCCAAAAAGCTTGAAAATTTAATCAAAGATTACATAAAAGTTTTTCTTAAAGGAATTAAACAATATTTGAAAGTACAAGCATACTTTTTTTATAAGCATTTGAAGTTCAAATTTCGACCAAACTGGATATTTAAATAAAAAATACGATTTTATCTCTAAGGATTTTAGTTGTTTAGTTATAATTCAAAAAATATTAATTTTGTAAACTTGAAACTTTCCTCCATTACATTTATTATTATACTAATAATTAGTATATGTGATTATAAGGTTTTATTAAAAACTTATTCAAGTTTAACCTACCATGTATTAGAAATATACTAATAAATAAATAACTTATAGTAGGTTATATAAATATACTATAAAAGAATCTTCAAACTAGAAATTGACACTCCTCTTTGACACAATCATGACTTTCATTGATTTAAATTTAACAAGTCTATTAGTAGCTATTTACCCAATAAAGAGGTAGGCACAAACCTACAATACAGAAGTTCATCGAGTTCCAGATTTTTCAAAATACAAAATTATAATACTCGGATAACACTCTATTCCTATGCGACAAATTGTCTTTGTTAAGTGTTTTAGTATGCGGCGAATGAGATTATAAAGGCCAAATGGCCAGTAACAAGTAATATAAAACAATAAAATTATTGTTGTGTTTCGGGAGTGCCACCGACAGCCTCCACCTTTAGTTTTCGTAACGAATAATTTAATTAAATGGCAGATAGCATAAATTTAGTATTATTTATAGCATAAAATTAATATTTTTTAAGCACAAATAAACAAAATTGAATGTTGAATTTTAAGTTTAGAAATGTACGCATTTGAACGTGGTAATAATGGTAACATGATTATGTTTCACGATGGTGTTTGTAGTACAAAATAAAATTTATGAATGCGTAAAAAAGTGCGAAAAGCTATATTAGTGTTCGGATACCTTTCAAGTTGTGACTAGTGGGTATCATAATACAAAAATTTCCATTATTCATCACTATAAATTACAACCAAATACCACGGGACAAAATGCTGTACAAATTGGTTTTGAGATGATTGACGGTATATTATAAATAATAATGTATGTTTAAAATACTAGTCATTTCAAAGTAATAAAGTTTAAATTATTTTATGGCAGGTTTTTAATATTTCCATTATTGTTTGGTACATTGTAAAATTCCAAACAATTTTCTATAGAGACCTTTTTAATGATTGTAGGTATGAAAATAAAACACATTTATTTAGTCATGTACGCAAACGAATTTTAAATATGCTACGGGAATTTAAGCAGACATTTTATTGCAAAACTGTTTATAGTTAAGCATTGTTGTTTGTAAGTGTTATTCATTCAAATATAGTTTAAAGTATATCATTTAAAATATTTTTGACTACTTGTATTGGGCTATAACCTTCATAATAGAAAGTATATTGAATATTGATATAATAGACGAATTTAATAACTGTACGACGAGAAAGCTTGAACAAAGTCTTTAACATTAATCACTCATTAATTTGGAAAATATTAACTTTTTAGTAATGGTTATTCCATATTTTTAATTTTATACCCATGCTAAAATACTCTTATACAAATGTTTATGTACAAATATATTTTTATTAATGAACGTTTAAAGTTTAAATGTGTAATAATAATAAATAATAATACACCAGAAGTGTAATTGCCACTTCACTCCTCAAATAATAACCATATTTAATCATGATGAAAAAAATTGTTATTACCCGATATCATGCTATATTTTTATGTTAAAGGTTCATATAACATTTTCAGAATATGGTACGGATTCTTATAAGTTACAAAAATATATATAATTTGCTATTTTTAATAATAAAAGTTAATAGGTAGCGGCTTATCCAACAAATGCATACGGGTGAACAAAACAAGGATTAACACAAATTGTTAGAATTTTCTGAGTGTTAATTTATTTTTAAATATCGAAGTTAAAGGATCGCTTTATATAATTTATTACATTATACCGGCACGTCACGACAATTGCGTGAACATTTGTTGAAGTTAATTTTCTGTCATTAAATAACCATGCAATTGGGCTGAGCGAAGTTCCTTAGACAGTAACGAGAATGTTAATTAATTCAACAACAAAAAATCACCTCTGCTTGGTGTTTAGCTATTTGCGCCTTTAACTCAAAAATGTAACTTAAAATCGTCTAATTAGACTGGCATTGAGGGACGTTCGTACAACAATAATACATGACAAGTGCGTTGCAGACAGGTTAGGAGGCTGACGGACGTGAGGTGTGGTGGGAAACAGTTGAAATTCAATTTCGAGTGTTGTCGTGTTACATTGTGTGTAGGGCCTGTCGAGTGAAACAAAAACAAATAACTGAGATGTTCCCGAAGTTTCTGTTTGGTCTTAGGTACATACCACACCAATTAACGTGACATTACAGCTGGAAACGTAACTTTTTAAATATACCAATGGTGTAAAGCCAAACGCTGCTCCGAATAATTTTAATATGACTTGGTATTTTTATAATAATTAATACAAATAGCTTAAATAGTATGAAACACTATTGCATAAGCTAATATAAGGATAAAATAGTATTTGTACTTTGTACTAAGGGATATTATTTAGTGTATTTTTCATATGAACATCTAAATTGAGTAGAAAACTGTAAATAGTATACAACATTTTGGTAATTATCAAATAGTAAGATGCTGTGTAAGTGTACTTAGATTATTCTCATTTTGCAAGTGTAAAATAAGTAATAACAATATTTGTCACGACATAAAAATTAAAAATATTAATAATTACTATAAAATCATAATTGCAAATTTAAACTTCTTGCAGATAGTATATTTATATATATAAGGGGTTTGTATAGGGTAGTTCTTGTGTTGTAATTTTATACCACAAGTTTCTTGTCTGCACATATTTTATAAAAAGTAAAAAAAATTTAATGGTGGAGTTTGATTTAAAATATATATACTTTTTTTTTGTTAGTTACTATTCAATTATTCACAAGCTACCCGAGTTAAGGTAAAAATAATTTTCAATAATATGTATATGATCTATAAATATCAATTATATTTATAAATTAGTAGTTGATAAAGTAATTAAAATTCAATATGTATTTGAGTGTATGACAATTTTAGAGTATTCTCGATTATTTGAACAAAAAATTAAAAAATATTTTTCACATAGAATTCAAATTTACTTTTCATAACTACTGTAGACATGTAACAATAAGTGCTATATATTAAGTAGGTACTGCACTTGTTTTTTTTAATTTGAAAAATTTCTTTCAAACATTAAAATTATTTTCTAAAATATAAATATTAATAGGTAAATAAAATATCGATGGTTAAAATTGTCTCCAACTATTAAAGCTCCAAATGTCTTACGCAGTTTTGATATTTATAGTTAATAGTATAGTAAGTATTTAATTTAAATGTTTAAAAAAAGGCATAATAATTAATATTGATATGAAAAATCACTGAAAGGTATAATTTTAACTAGGCTTTTATTTAACGTTTGAAATAGAAAACAGTTTGAGGTACAATACAAAATATTAGCCAAAATATGTTTAGGGAATATGTAAGTCATAAGTGTATACTTTGAATGTTTAACAAGGAGATAGGACATATAATTGATGAATCGCTTTAATGGGATTATAGCTAGTCACAGAATTATGGTTTGTTAAGAACTGTTCACGTAATCACGTGTGGAACGGGTCTAAGAAGTATTTCCATTTTAGAATCGAATAACAATATTTGTTATTCAATGCGTTTGTAATTAAAATGTCAAAAATTAATTGCTTGTAGGTTGGATAATATGTGTTATCCTCTGGTTATTGAAGTTCATTCGCAGACAAATTTAACAGACGATTTGAATTTCGTTTGAACCGTTAGCGATTCCCATACTAATGAAAGATTTCGATCGATGATTGTTAATTTGTGCAATGGACCGTTTTATTTTAAGCTTGGCGTCTCAAAGGAAATTAGAATAATTTTAATATAGTAACAAGACGCATTTCGCTTAAAGTGAAAACAATACTGCTTCTATCAAATACACACGTTTCATAATAATTATTAATCAACATTGTACGTAATATTATTTTATGAAGTAATTTATTATAATTAAGATGGAAATTATTAGAGTTTAGGAAATTTCAAAGAGTATATTATTAACTTTTTTTTTAATTTGGTAAGTTGTATAAATTATCAAAGTCGTACTATAGAGTCTGCTATTTGTTCAAGACTAAGTTCTTTATTATATAACTGCTAGAGAATCGTTTGAATATAAATTATGCAATGGTTTCCTTATCAAACATATTTGACTATAATTACAATATTTTAGAATATTTACATTGTTTAGAAGTTATAAAAAATAAGGAAATAATAATGTAGATAAACATAATATGTATGTTTTAAGTTAGAACTGTATACTTTAGTTACGTGAATAATATTATGTAAATTGAATCATCTGTTGATTAATTAATCAAAATTTAAATTTGCATAATTCTTTTCCGAGCCAAACATTTTCACTAATAATTTGATTACGTATTTGGTTTTAGTTGGATTCTTGTTGAAATACCTTCCGTTCTAAAGATTCTACAAGGAAAGATATACTATAGCTTTTTATTATCCATTCAAGATTTGAGTATGTTTTTTTATAAATTCCATTTAAAATATTAAAATAATATAATCAATAAAAATATTTTATTAATATGATATGGATAGTAACAAGTGGTTAATATAATTCAGTATTAATATTCATTCACAAAATTATAATATATATTTATACTAATTAACAACGACAGCAAATAATATTTTATTTAGAATCAAACTAAGAGAAATTTGATTTGCAATAATTTTAATATTACCTAATTAATGATATTTTTTTACATTTTGGATTGTTGTGATACATTTGCTATAATGAGTACTCTATTAAGATACAATTCCAATAAACCAATTCACGATATTAAAATTATGTAATAAAAAATCTGTTCAAGAATTTTTTTAGAATTAAAAACGTTCACTATGGGAAACTATTTGAAATTTGAAACTGTTAAACACATGAAAATAAATGTGGTTAATGTGATTAAAAGTTTAAACATTTATAAATTAAAAACAAAAATTACGAACATAAAATCTTGAACGCTTGAATAGTTGGATAGTTTAATAGGTACTAAAATTTAATCAGCCTGTATATTATGTTGAATAATACGATGAATACAAGAACCATATTAATGGTAATTTCACAACAACTTACTTGTATTAAACGGCTAAAGTAGGTACTGTTAAAAAGTATTGGTAACTCGTTAGGTTCGTGTTAAGATCTAAACATTATAATAAATAATTGATTTGTGAAAATGTCTAAAAAAAAAGAGGTATGTGACCTCATTACACTAAAAAATGAGCTTTTTTCAATTACATTGATACTTAGGATAATAGATTTGATCGATATTAATATTGTTTTTTAAAACCCTGAGTTAAAGGTATAATAGTATTCATATTCCAGTGCTTATAGCGAATTAATTTGTAATAAAACTCCTCCTACATTCTTATTTTCGTTTATCGTCAGATATATTGTATTATGTATAATATACGACACTATATACATCAGTTGTTTTTAGTTTGATTTGTTCAATAGTTGTCCAACATCGTTTGATAAAAAAATAAATACATATACTTTCATGAAATGTTTGAATATTCAGCCATGTATCAAAGATTTAAATTAAAGGTGGTGTGGAGATGAGAGGATGAATGTACATAATGAATAATTTACCAACAAATAGTATTAAAAATGAAATAAATTATGTCAAAATAATGCGATTATTATGGATATTGTTGGAGGACTTATGTGTCTCTACGGTCCTTGCATCCACAATGTCTGTGTTTATTGTAAATTATCATAATCTATTTCGCTTTTCTTTAAAATTAATTTTTATGAAATTCATGTTGCTATAGTTTGAACAGTGTAGGTAGGTATATAAGTTGTATTCGTTTGAGAAATCAATCGGTGGTCCACTGCAATATGCAGTTTTAACTTTTTAGTATCTTATGTGTTAGGTATACATTTCTATAAAATCATATGATAGATATATATTTTATTGAAGCCAACTCTTATTGGAAAATGTTTACCAAAATGTTTTAACTAAAAAACGGAGAACTTCATTAATATACAATACATTGAAATGTTATTGTTTATTAGTTATCTCCTAATTTAATAATTACTCAGAAGTTTCGTAGTTAAATTAAGTATCTAATTCAAAATAAAATAAAATAATTTAAGTATAATTTATAATTTTACCTTCTTTAATCAGTTACAATTTATCAATTCTTTACATTTTATTAAAGTGCAATGTCTCCATATTTCTAAGATAACATAACCTATCCAGTATCCATACACTTGGGGTCAGGGATCATTGAGATTTGGCAAAAATATTCAAGATTTATTCATGGCATTGATTTAACATTAAATTATTTTTGCATTAATTATGAATATATTACGTAGTTCATAACCAAACCTGCAGATTAACAAGAGATTAATATTTGCCACGTGCCATGGAACTAATAAAACAGTCTGCGCGATGTTACGTCAAACCATTGTTTTACATTTGATCCATCGCATTATCATTACAGATGCATTTTAAGCCGGCATAGTGCAACACGTATGGAAAAAGACAATTTCTCATAACTAGAAACGTCGACAAAATAATCCACTTATTTTTAACCTGACACTAATTATAATTTATACAATGCATGGTTCGTTGTCAAAAGCTATTTTCCTAATGATATTTTGCATACATTATATTGGTTAAGTTACTGTATATATTTAATTATTCGAATATCAACTGATGTGATAGTTATTGTTGCAGGTATACCGTGTTTGCTGCTTACTACATATATGATTTTCTGTATCTCTAGTTAAAGTTCATAGATTATCTCTTACATATAGTTTGGGCTATGAGTGAAAAATAATACATATTTTTAAACCCATAGGCGCTACTAGACCCTCTTGGCAGGAGGGGGGGGGGGAGGAGGCAGAAAATATAAAAGAGTTCTCTGATATTCATTCAAAGCGAATCTCTTATGTATTAGCGATGTATGTGCAATAAGTTATATTTGGGACGTTTACGATTTAATACGATTTCATTATGAATTATATTTACCAGTCACTTCGATGGATCGTTTGCTTTTGCCAAGTCCATTATCGGCCACACAAGAATAATTGCCAAAATCGGTCTTTTGCACTTTTCTCAAGCGTAAAGTGTATCGGTTGCCTCTGACGTCAGTAATCCGCCATTCGGTCATGTCCAGCTGCAATGTGTCTCTATACCACAAAACCTGAAAAATTACACGAAAAATCGTAAGACGTGATATATTATTTTATATGTGCAGATGTACCTAATATAAATATTATCGCGAAGTACATGGCTCACTTGGTGTCAACCACACTGTATACATTATACATGCTCAATACCAGGGTCAGTGATCTATTAAAAATGTGTGGTAATTGTTTACTTGTGTGTAAGTAGGAAAAAATGTACCCTTCTTAATAAAAATCTTGAGTGCGCACCAAACTGAAGATTATCGAACACAATCCAGTTCAAATATCACAAAACTAAATTTTTTCTATCTGCTGAAAATTAATATTATGTAAGAATAACCAAATGGCCGTATCTATATCTATAATGGCAGTTATGGCACTATTATTGAACTTGACAGTTGCTTGTACATTTCCTCATAACATGTTGAGTTCGCTTGTTCCTCTCGTGGGTTTGTGTTCGGTAATTTAAAAGTTTTGAACAAATTGACTAATCTAGATTTTAACATTTTAAACATATCTGTTGCATAGGTTCCTATATTTTATGTATAACACACAAATTATAAGATATGTCTCATCACATTTACCCTCTCAAATAATTGGTTTATTTAACGACTCGTGAGAGGCAATTTAGTTTTTTTTTTTATAATTAATAAGTTAAATTATTTATTTTCACTGAAAATTAGAACAGTAATGAACTAACCAAATATGAATTTAAACTATGATTTTGAGTACGATTTGATCTTTATAGCTCTATAAATCATTTTTCGAAATTAATAAATTTATCAGGTCCGATTTTTAGAAAAAAGCTTTATCCTTAGAATTTCATGGTTACAACAATTTTGTAATAAAACAATAAACAATTATTGTTAGTTTTTATCGATTATTAAATATATATTATATTATTTAGAAAAAAACATTTTATTGTAAAATTGAAGGAAACACAAACACACATATTTTGGTGCAAGATTAAAATTGTCGTCGCTGTATTTCAATAAAACAAAGAAAAATTTATCTTTAAGTTGGGAAACATTTTGTTTATAAGAGTTTAAAATACATATTATTTTCTTTTCACAATAATTTTTTAACATGATATACATAGCATGTTAAACGGTAAGTTCTAAATATTTAGGTTGGGACAAGCTGGCGGACTTAACGTCAAATTACTGTTAAAAAAACAGCTTGCAAGAAAATGCACTGTTTATACCAATAGCTGGAGGTTCTTAAACGACAATCTGCATACACAGGCTCTATATTTCATTCAATACAATTTTAATAAGTGAAATATAAGTATATATATATTAAAACCGTCGGCAGTTTTATTTCTATTGTTATGAATACCAGTAAAACAACAAACTGGAGAGATTCTACGCCATAAAAAAATTATTAATACCAAGCTTAGATGGCCTAGATAGTTTCGAAATTGATTGACGCACACCAAACCGATTTTAGCGCTTTGATTAATGGCCTCTAGGCTATACACTACCGACGGCGCCATTTTGCGACTGTTTGAATTAATATCGAAGCCAACTCTGTGTTATACAGGCTTACAGCCTACTGTATAAACGACTTTTCGGACACTTCATTATAGGCGTAACAATTTTCAGTCAAAATATCTCCGAACAAAACTTCCCGGTGACAGAAATCATCGGCTGACAAGTTCGTAAAATGTAGTTGTGTACATGAATTGATTGCCAATGTTTACCGAACGAGCCACGGCACGCCTGTAACGTATTTGTATTATCCATAATTATTATTGGAGTTAAGGGTTGGTCATTCTGCCCATTACTTTTCAGGTAGTTCCTTACAGCGTAGTTTTGGATATACCGTGAATCACCGATGACTTGTTGTGTAACTCTACGCCGTCTTGTGAATAAGAAATAATATAAAAACAAACTTGATTTTGCAGGACTTAACTTGCATGGAGTATCGTAAACATGAATGATCTTTTAAGCGCTAAGTTCGAGATCGCAGAAATCCAAGGTAGGTTATGATATTTAAATAAAAATCTGTTTAATCACAGGGAATTTATTCGCTTGTTTTGTTGTTATAATAACTGATTAGATAAAAATTGAATAACTTATGATGTTTTAAACCGGCTTATATAATGGAATGACTGATTTTGTACAATTGTTCATTTTAGTTCATGGACGTATTTCTAAAAAGCAAATTAAAGGGGAGATTATCAGTTTTCACTTAAAAGTTTTTAATCGTGGTCGGTCAGTAAAAATGGATTATTCAAAATGTTCATGTTGTAAAATTTTGAATTTTATCAAATTATAGTGTTAAAAATCTTCAATTCACGTTGGTCGTTGACTATCTTGAAAAAACAAGGAAATGTTCGAAACCCCCCTACATTTGAAAAGAACTTAGTATTGTCATGTACAATATGATTTAGTGATAGAAAACCTACCACAAGCAGACAACAAGATGTCAGGAAATGACATAGCGACATAGGTACCACACTTTAAAAACTCTCCCAAAGTCCAAATATATTATGAAATGTAATACTATTGATAGAGTTTTAATCTTATGCACGGTTTTAGTAGTTAACAGAAGTAAAGAAAAAACTTTAAGAGTACTTCAAACCCTAATATGTTGTTTCCGTGAGACGAAGCTACAGGCGCAGAACATGAACAATTTTACGTTTAAAAGAATTCATTTTATTCTGTTCTTTATTAGATTGAGCTGACTTATAATCAAATTTAAATGTTAGAGTATTATCCAGCGCACCACATAGGTTTTTTTAATATTCTAATGTCGAAGCAAGTTATGAGCATTTTAAATCTAACCGAAAAATATTATATTTTTAAATGCTCATAACTTGCGTTGACATTAATTACATAGCAACAAAAAATCCTCCATATTCATACTTTTAAGTTTGATAATAAGTCAAGCCGTTGTAATGTTAAAAATAACAAAGTGAATGGATTATTTTACATGAACAGTTTGATATGTTATGCGTTAGTAAGACAAAGACAACGTGACGTCCTTTTAACAGAAAATTACAGAATATTTCATCAGGAAAACGACGAAAAGAATACGAAAATTATAAAAAGAAAATGTTGGATCTTGTAATGAAACACCAGAATTTCAATATATTTTATGAGTGATATCGTCTTTTACCCTTATACGATATTCAATGGGTAGTTATTTTGTCATGAACGAAATTGTACGTGGGATCTTATATCAGAAACTAATTATTAAGATTACATCAAATACTATAGATTAGATCACGGGAAGCTCTGTTGAAAACGTCTGCCGACGCATAGAACTCAATTTCACTGAAATTGCTTATACAGCCCCTTACTGAAAATATGCGATAAACAAATACAAATTGTTGTCAAAATATAAATTTAATTTTACCTCAGATATACGTAAGAGTGTAGATAAAAGCTTCGAAATAAAAAAAAACATATTAGGAAGGTATATTATACTATTTATTTTTGTTTTTTTTCGGTTATTTTTTTGATTATTTATAAAATATATTTATATTCATATAGATAATAGGTATAAGTAACCTTATTATATTTTAATTTTAATCGTATTATGTTATATTCATTATATTTTAATGAAATGAATTGTTTAAGAAATGAATATGGTGCATATTATATTAATGTATAACAACATAAGTTTGTTTTGTTTTATAGATATTCATTGACTCTACAAAAAACATAAACAATAAACCATTTGACTTTGTTAAATGTTTTTACAATCTAAAGTTTTCAAAAGCATTGAAATCAGAATCAAAGTTTCTTATTTTTAGTAATAAAACATAAAAATAACTAATGTTATATTATACGTAGTCAATAAATTTAATTTTTATGTAAAAAAAATTTAATTAAAAAAATGACTAAAACAAAAGAGATTTTGCTTGTTAGGTCTTCCTGTTACATTCTGTATACACCCGCCAGATAAATTAAATATCATACACACTTGAAATTAGTCAGTACAATCACTGTATTTATTATTATTATTTAAAAGAATTCTGAGCACCTACTCTCCATCTGTCGTTCAACTTCATAGTATTTACGCGTTTCTCGCGTTCTCCAAGAGTGGAATAAATCACGTTAACGTGTGAATTATTGCACTATTTTTCATAGCGCGTGTGCATCAGTACCAATATACCATATTTTATATTAGTCACATTATTTGGATTGCATCACGACTTAGTTCTATGTAAAATATAAATACAACGTAATCGCGTGGTTTTTTGGAAATTTTTGATTGACAGATTTCTTACAGACCAGTAGCTTGTACTCTATTATTATGTATACGTATACGTTTTCTGGTGAAAAAATTACACTAAGTTCGAAAAGCTCAAAGTGTATATTATGACTGTAAAAAAAAATTGCTTTGTGTATTATAGCATAATATTTTAATGAATTAAACAATAAGTTTACTGGAGGGTAAATAATACATAATGAATAAATTTGCAGGATAAACTTTCTTTGGAAACATTATAAGAATTATGTAAATTTTAAAATGAAATTTTGTTGAAAAATGCTCAGACAGAATATATTTATAAAATATAATATTATATTATATATTAAGATTGAAATTACTATTTGAATACTAAATAGAAAATAAAAATTGAACCTTTAAGATATTAACATAAATAATTAGTCGTATATATTGGCTATACATATTAGAATTGAGTTTAGGTAAACTAAAAAAAAAGTACTGAAAATGAATAAAATTTTAAGTTTGAGTTTTTAATACCATAGTCATAGGATCAAATTATGAAACGATATTAATGATAGAAAATACATCTAGGAATACATAATAATGTTTACATTTAAAATGTAAGTAATTATAAAAATTTTAACTATGTTTCGAATAATTTAAAGAGTGGCGGGTAATGGTTTCAACGTGATGTTTATACGATACTTAAACTGAGATTATTTTAATAGTTTAGTCCAAGTACTCAATATTCAATTATCATTTATAATTCAACTATATTTTAATTGAATAAGGTACATTTTATAACAAAACAATATAAGTTGAATGCCTGTAGGAA